CACTTTTACACTTCTGATTCTCTCTCCATCCCACCATGCAGGAGAGATCAAGCAACTCAGCAGACTGCTGGGGTTAAACCACAACACCCACCCAAGACAACTACAGCCTTTGATCTACGATATTTGGAATGAAATTTGGATTGCTGGATTGCTGTGCAATGCCCCAGGCTTGCAGGACTGGTGAAATAGGCCTGTCACCCTGTTTTGGCATTTGGCCCACTTCCTTATTGGCTTTTACCATAAAGGCTTCCCAGAAGTGCTTGCCTAGCCAGCTGGTCCTCCTCCTTGGAGCAGGAATAAAAGGCTGGCATTGCAGTCTGTCCTGGCAGACAGACAGCTCAAGTTGCTTTGGCACGTCTTGCTGTGGACTGCATGATGAGACAGTCAATGCTCTTCCTCGGCTTTCTTCTTGTCTTCCTTGGCCTGGCCCTGCCAGGCATCCAGGGAAAAGTCATTTCCCGATGTGAGATGGTGAGGATCCTACGTCGGAATGGCTTTGAGGGCTTCGTGGGCAAAACTGTTGCTGACTGTGAGTATGATGAGCTGCCATTGCGCCTCTCTGCCTGTACCACCCCTTTCCCTCTGACTTCTTTGTGAAGATGCCATACTATTCTGTCCCTCTGTTCCTTTGACTTCATCATCTCTCTCCCTCATCCCCTTTCTGGCTCCCTTCTATTGCTTATACAACAAATACCCAATCCAGAGCTTTATCCTTCCAAGCATTACCCATCCATTTCTCAAGCTTACAGTATCACTGCTTTAATTACTTCTCCAGCCCTTTGTTCATCCTTGATCCTTTCATCTCTTTCTCTTATTTACCCTGAGCATACCCTGATGTTCTCCTCTGGGTTCTGTCTTCCTCCTGCAGGGATGTGCCTGGTGAAACATGAGAGCAATTATAACACTAGAGCATACAATAACAATGGTCCGAGCAGGGACTACGGCATCTTTCAGATCAACAGCAAGTACTGGTGCAATGATGGCAGGACCTCTGGATCCCATAATGGCTGCCATATCAGTTGCTCAAGTAAGTGGTGGGACAGAACAGAGTATTTCTTTGTCTACTCCATTAAAGCACCAGACCTGTCCATGACACCTGCCTAGCAGCTGTTTTGGGCATTTCTCTCCATGTGTCCTTCTATTCATCCACCTTCTCAGAGTCCTATCTACCCTTTCTGATGAATACCTTTCCTTCTGCCCATCTTTCTTCCCTATTGACCTTTTCTCCCTCCTCTACAGAATTACAAGACGATAATATTGAGGATGATATTCGGTGTGCCAAGAAGATCGCTCAGGAGGCTCATGGCCTCACTCCCTGGTAAAGATATTTCCAGTGGACATTGGGGAATAGCGGGCAGAGGAGAC